TCCTTGGGTTTTGGGCCAGTGAGGAAACGAGAAGCCCCGAACCTTGCAACTTGACGGTGTCTCTCTGGCTTTAGGCGTTTAGGGGGTTTTGGGCCCGGAGTTTCCCAGACCCTGAAACCTCGCACTCCTAGAATCCCCTAAACCTTAAACCCTAAACCCTAAACCCTAAACCCTAAACCCTAAACCCTAAGCCAGAGCATAGCAACCCGAAGTCCCCATCTCCTAAGGCTGAGGCGCGAAGCCGTGAACCCAAGAAAGCCCTAAACCCCGAAGCCCAGAACCCCCAAGGCGGACGATTCAGGGAGGGTTTAGGGCTCAGGGCCTAAGATGTCAGCTTCAGGTTTCGGTTTGAGGTTTTATATCCTACACTAGAGTTCAGATGCAAAGAGCTGCAAAGATCGAAGACTCGATTTCAACAACCCTAAACCCTAAACCCTAAACCCTAAACCCTAAACCCTAAACCCTAAACCCAAAGCTTGGCCTAAACCCCAAAGTGTGGCCGAAATAAGACCGCAAGCTGTGCGGCCGAAGTTATCAACCCTAACCCTGCAATACAGAGGTCTTGCTTAGGTTTCAGGACTTCTGGCTTCAGGGTTTCAGGACCCTTAACCCTAAACCCTAAACCTCTAAACCCTCTAAACCCTAAACCCTTTTGGATTAGGGGCTTTAGGGTTTCAGAGCTAGGGGTTTCGGGGTTTCAGGACTTATCGCTTAGGGTTTGCCGAAGCCTCGGCCTAAGGGATTTAGGGGTCTATAGGGGTTGATAAGGGCTTAGGGTTTAGGGGTTTATAAGGGTTTAGGGTTTAGGGGTTTATAAGGGTTTAGGGTTTAGGGTTTAGGGGTTTAGGGTTTTGTAGTTTGTAGGGGTTTATAAGGGTTTAGGGTTTTGGGGTTTATAAGGGTTTAGGTGTTTAGGGGTTTAGGGTTTTCTTAAAGCGCTTGCTTAGATCTTGTCTGGGGTTGTGACGGACGGACAAGGAGAACCAGGGAAGCTTGCAGTAGACCTTAACCTTAAGCCCTCAGAGAACCATAGCCCCTAAACATGGCTTTCGCGGGATTGAGGCTTCTTGGTCAGCTTTTTCGAGAAGCTTAGGATGTTACAAGTATGATTCTATGATGTTGCTACTTGAAGATCTTTGCTCGAGTTGAAGCACGGATCCATCATGCTATTCACAGGTCTACATTCGCCTAGAGATCTTACGACGATTCCGGTCGATTTCGGGACCAGGTTCTTCTAAAGGATTGGATTTCGGCGTTTCGACGTCACTAAATCCAAAACCCAAATCCTAAACCAAATGGCCACGAGACCCCGTCTCAGCTCCGCTGATGTCATCTTCCGGCTTCGAACTCAACTGACTCTCGCCTGCTTTGGATTCCTGCATGCTCTTCCTGCCTGGCGCGGCGGAACCGAGAAGCATGCACGGCAAGGTTCAAGAAGCCTTCCAACAACGTGCAGTCCAACAAGGAGATCAGCAAGCACACTAAAGAGCACAAGAGCATACCCTGAAGGAGGTATTCCCAAATCGAGCTCTCGATCGACGATGACTGAGAGAATGCCTCGAATGAACAAGCTGCTCTGATTGCGCGAGCATGCAGTTCCTGATACTTGCTGGAGTTGTACCTCATGATATCCTTGTTCCTTCAAGACGGCTTTATGCTGCGATATTTCAGCATTTGTTGTTATTGTTCTGCTGCTTGTGTCGGACAGCTGCCTCACCCGCGAGAGCGTAAACCCTAAACCCCGACCCCCAAAACCCCAGCCCTCCCGCCCTCCACAACATTTTGGGTTTAGGGTTTAGGGTTTAGGGTTTAGGGTTCCTGGCTTCACCCTGCCGGCTCAAGAACGCATGCCTCGCCTGGATTGTCCCAGTGTGAGCGCGGATACCCTGGCCCTAAACCCCTAAAGCCCTAAACCCTGAACCTTAAGCCCCAAGCCCTAAGCCCT